CAGACAGTCTTTGCAGTATGTGTCTGTCAGCGGCTTCTGAACGAGGGGTCCGAAGCACACAGGTGTAAGCTGGGAGTGAAGCTGTGACTTGAAAAGCTTGCTGTTAGCGCTGGCATCCTGCTGGCATTTTGCTGACCCACAGATTCTCGCCTGTCGGCTCGGACTTCAACAGGATAGTTTCGTCAATAACTGTCGTGGAAGTAGTTGCTAGCAGTCCGTCTCGATAGTTGCAATCCATAACTTGACTGAAGACATTGCATCGGGTAGCTTCCGCAGACTCCATCAACAGCTGTGGAGCCGAAGCAGCAAGATGAATTTTGGGCTGTTCCTCTTGTGCTGCCACTACATTTGGTTAAATTAACATCTTCTCAGTGGGCACACTGACAGCCAAGCCCTTGTATGAAGATTCCGCTTTAAAGGATCTCCTCCCATTTGCGCGCACTGTCACACATGCTTCGTTATCGGTCTCCCTTCGCTCACACAGATCAGTGTTTTCATTAATAATATTCTGCTCTTCAACCCTGGAACGTCCTTCAACCTGTGACATTTGATTTATATCCTTTGGAGTACTTTGTTCTCTTTTCACCAGCATGACGCGAAGAAACTCTTGGAACGTTCGCAGCCGCCAGCGGTCTAGTTTCTCTAGTGCCTCCTTCATTGGGCTCACCATATCGTCTTTCAGTCCATCCATTCTTTGCATCCCACCGCTGCTACCAAATGAAACATAGAGAACCGCACACGTAAACACAACAGAAGAAAACACTATTTCGGACACAAACATGGCTCCATCGCCTAAGCATCACTTCATCGCTAACTGCTCGCCTATATCATGTGGTCCTCTTTCTCTTCATCCAGCTTGCTCCAACTGCACGTAACAATATATATAGGGACCAACAATGAGTGGTGAGGAACACAATTGCAGACACTACACTCAATGAATGCTGTTCTATATTACAATGTTACACTTTATAATATGCGTTTTTACTTCTGAACTGGTTCCTGTTGCCGTTATATTTTATTGCTTAGCAAATAAGTTTTTTTTAATCAATGAATGAAAAAGAAAGTATAATAGAAGGCAAAGAGAGTGGCTTGAGCAAGTATGGTGGGAATAAGTGATGTATATTCAGTTCATAATTGTAAAACTGGCATTCCTGCAAGGCAGTTAACTCAGTTTACACCAGTTACTTATTTCCGCAATCATCAAGCTCAATTTGCTTGCACTGTATGAAGCTGAAAAACTAGTTAGCCATTCTTGTAACATTGGACTCAGCAACTCTTGAGCACGCAAAATAGACGAACCCCAGTACGTGCAACTACGGCCTCGTCTTCACTTGAAGCACAACAGGTGCCACCATTATTTGAGCACAAGGAAGCGCACACAAAGATTATGAAAACAATCTAATAGACCCTGAAGAAATGTGTAACGCTTGCCCTCATGCCAGCAAGCCCAGAGGCCCTCGTTTTCTGCTGTGATGGTTAAGGAGAGCAGTCGCGAAATACTGTATGTTGTAATACCTGGCCGTGGGCCCAACCAATCACAGTTCGGGCTCCACGGTTGTCTATATCGGTTGCAATGTTCCACACCTGACCAGAGATCGCGGGACAAAATACTGTCAGCGGCAGTCACGTTTTCGATGGAATCAAAAATGCCGGAGGCCCGTGTACTTAGATTTGGGGACACTTGAAGAACCCCAGGGAGTCGAACTTTTCGGAGCCCTTCACTACGATGTTCCTGATAATCATATCGTGGTTTTGGGATATAAAACACCAGATTATTATTATTATTATTATTTCACTTAAATCTCTTGCCCCGTTGCACTGGTCTAGTGGCTAAGGTACTCTGCGGCTGCATCGTCGATGGAGAGGCAAAAATGCTGTAGCGTTGCGTGCTCAGATTCGGCTACACATTAAAGAACCCCAGGTAGTCAAAATTTCCAGAGCCCTCTACTACAGAGTCTCTTATAATCTTATGGTGGTTTTGGGACGTTAAACCCTACATATCAATCAACTGAAATCTCTTAAACGGAAAGACCTGAAATCTTTCAAAGAATCGATGTAGTTAGAAATCAGCCTGAAGCGCCGAGAAAAATTGTTGATTGGATGTCTCTATTTACTGCCCAGCATTTCCCCTGCCTTGTTTCATGATGTCATGAATTCTATTGTACATTGTCTCATAGTGGGCACACACTTTGTCTCATAGTGGGCATACAATCATTGTTTTTGGTGATTTCAATGCACCTAGAATTGACTGGAGCACGCTTACCTTTTCTCATTAGTCATTTTATTGTGAAAAAGGGCAGCCTGCTCGTGAATTTTCTGGCTTTAATTTTCCACTGCAACAAAACACAGGCGTCAATCGCAGAGACGTCTTCGACTTCTGTATGTTTAACGATCAACCCATTGAAGTTTCATGCTCTGACACCTCTCGTATTCGTCCTGACTATTTCCACCCACCACTTAATATAAGATTATTTGTATGTGCCGAAACTGCGAGCTACAGCAGTCATTTTAACACATTTCCAGGATATGTTTTCAAGAAAAAAGACTACACAAGCTTTTATCATTACTTGTCAACCATTCATTGGTCACAGGTTGCTGACAAACCAAACGTTAATGACCAAGTTCAGCAGTTTATGGAACTTGTATGAAGCAGCATGCATATTTTATTCGACGGTATGAACCTAAACAACATGAATATCCCCACTGGTTCTTCCCCGAGCTTATTAGTGCACTGAATCTTAAAGCTCGCGGACACAAGAAGGCTAAATGTTCTCCATTTAGAAAGTAGAAAGAAGAGTTCAGCTCTTTGCGGTCTCTCTCTAAACGTCTATATATAAATGGGACCACAATTCATATATTGCATTATTAGGAAAAAATCCTTCCGACAGGCCAGCTGAGTTTTGGAAGTATGTACGCAAACGGTTTAGCATAAGTGGGGAGTATTTCAGGCTGCTTGACTCTGACGGTGTTGAAGTGCATGCCGTCACTGAGTGTGTTGCCATGCATTTTTCATCCTTTATAAGACCTCAGACTCTAGGACTCTGATAGGACAACAGCACAAGACAGTTAGCACATCTAGTGGTCTGTCGCTGGATGAAGAGCTTGCCTGCTCGTGCATTAGGTGCTTAAAACCGTGTTTATCGTGCGGTCCAGATGGCATCCCTTCCCCTGTATGGACTACTTTATTTAATAACTGTCTGAACGCTTCCACAATGCCCAGTATGTGGAAAGCTGCTTGTGTTTTTCCAGTATTTAGGTCGGGCTGCAAAAGTGATGTTTTTGATTATCGCCTGTTTTGTCTACTTTGTGCCACATCGAAGATCTTTGAGCTGGCTCTTCACAACATATTGTTCGTTAGCGTCAATAATTGATTGATTCCTAATCACTACGGGGTTCTCCCTGGCCGCTCAACTGCCACAAATCGTGCTAGTTTCATGACACAAATATCTCCACCTATTTCTCAGACAAGACAGGCTTACGTAGTCTACTGTAAACTGAGCAAGGCTTTTGACGCAGTCAGCCAATGACTGTTCTTGGTTAAACTTGCAAACTTTATGTCGACCTGTCTCTTGTTAATCTCCTGCACAGCTATCTCTTTAATAGATCTTAATAAATCATGTTCTGTTGCCGTAAATGGCCAAACGTTTTCTTTGTACAGAGTGACTAGTGGAGTCCCTCAAAGGTCGCTATTAGGCCCCCTCTTATTTTTAATTTACATTAATGATGCTTCTTTTGAAATTCGGTATTCTTCTTTTCTCTTGTATGCCGATGACATCAAGCTATTTAAAGATATTCATTCATTTAACTACTGTCGCTTGCTGCAACCAGATTTGCATTCTTTCTTCACATGGTGTGGTAACAATAACCTTTTTCTGAATACCTAAACAACCAAATTCATTAGTATATCTCGCAAAACATCCATTGTGTCATTTCCGTACTCTGTCAATACCATGTGGTTATGTCCTTTTCGATGAATGAATTATCAATCAAATTGATGCTTGATTAATCAATAAATATTTTAATTGACCATCCCTACTTTCTCATGGAAATGGAAAATGTGTAGTATGTATTCCACTGATGGTACTGACATTGTTGGTAGCTAAGCAGGGTGGTAGTTCACGCTGCTTTCTTGAAGAAGCCACTACTTGTTGCCTACTTAAGATGAGAGGTAAACAGTGCATATCTAGAGTTATTGAGTTATGATAATATGCACAAATACCTCAATGCATACAAATACCTCCTAGTCTCCTCTAACTTGGCAAAGTGTTAGCGAGTGCAACTTGTTGTCTCGGAGTACGGAAAAGTACTGTTGGTGATGGAGCACTGCATCTAACAATTTATGCTTAAACTGTGTATGAGATGGGTTGTTCGTTTCAAGTCTATATGTTCAAAATTAAGCTTAAAAGAAAAAGCAGTGTTGTTTACCCTTACGAGTAATGCTTCAGGTCTTGTTCAGCAGTAAAGTTACACAAACTTAGATGCTGCACTGTGCCTATCCATAGTTGAGTGCAGTTAGCATCAGCTCAATTTGCATGCGTGGCTGGCAAGGACTGAAGCTCTTGCAGTTAATGATGCACACTTACCACGCATAATTTGTTTATCATAACTGAATGTAAGTTGTAGTGGCAGCACAGCTAGCTCTAGCATCGAGCACTACCTGTCGAATGTAGATTCCTTACTGCTGCTGTCACTATCTGCCATTCATTCTCAGCATACTCTGCATAAGCAATCTTTTTGTATCGTAATACAGTGTAGTCTGTAACTGGAGACGAGGCAAAGGAATTAAGTGGTTTAAGGCAGTTAACGAAATGAATTCTTAAAATATCTGCACAATTCTCAGGCTAGGTCGGTTTGAAAAAATGACAGAAGTGTGCGGGGCTATTCTGCCCAGCAAATCTTATTGAGATAGATTATCCTAGAGAAAAAAAATTGATTTCAACTCTCAGAGTGAAATTAAACTTCCACTTAATTTGTTTTGTTTTTTTTTGTATTTTGTACAGGAGCAGTTGGAGCTATACGAGATGGAAAAGGAGCTTCTTGAGAAGAGGAATGAAGCAACGGAAAGTGAGCTCTCCAAGCTCTACAGGAAGGTCTCTGAAATGATGGGGCACCAAAATCATAAACAAAAGATCCACTACCTGAGCAACCTTCTGGAAGAGCAGCATAAGTCTAGGAAGGTCAGTAAGAGCTTGATCTACCCATGACGTAGATTAGAAATTCACACATATATTGTATATAATTTTGTAATGAAATTATCTTGCTGGTTTTTTATTTATGAGATTCTGCTCGAAGTGCAGCCTGGCCTGCTTTCAACTGCTTGCTCATGTTTTTCATCATTTACTAAAGTCGTACCTTTACGACTCTGTGGAAGTGACATTATGCTGAGCATAATGTCACTTCCACAGATGCCGATGTCTGTTAGTTCTCATTAATGTTGTTTATTATAAAGGAAATGAGCCTTTGAATATACACTTTCCTAAGTTCATAGCGAGGGTGTCATTCTGGCAGATTTGATGCCTTAAGGTGGTGTGTGAGGAAATATTTGATCAGCTGCCATCTCGTAATAATATCACGTTCTAGGCCAAACAGGCAAGAAAGTGTTTCACACTCGCCACAATGGCAACAGGTGGCACTGAATGACGCTCTCATGTTTAATGCACATATATATACCCTACAAAGATGCCGGGCCGAGGGGATAACTGCCACCGTAGCTCGGTGCTAGAGCATCGGTTGTGTTATTAGAAAGTCGCAAGTTCGGATCCTGCCGGTGGCAAGTCATCTTTTCGTCAACTTTTCTTTCTTCACATTTCTATTACAATTACTTCCAATAACATCCCCTATATTTTCCCTGGCATTATTGTCTGTTAGTTTTCATTATATTGTCTAACAAAAAAACGAGCCCTTAAATATACACTTTCCTATGCAGTGCATGAACTTGCGGGCTCTGTTCCTAACCTAGTTTTAAGTTTTTAAGTGGATTGAACCATTGCAAATGTTTTCACATTACTCCAAGCATTCATAGGTACCTGAATTAATGGGGCCCTGCAACAGCTGCAAGACAGTGCACTAGGCAGTGTTTATTGCATATGCAATGAAGGAAATTGACAGGAATGTTGAAAACAATAGTTTGGCACTGACCACTGTTTGCTGGCTATAAGTGATGCAACAGATACATGTGATAAGTGATGTCACACAAAACTAAAACTGGTGAAGATAGAACTGTGTCAAGAAAAAAAAGTTATACTCTCACTGCAATGATGGCAGCGAGCACAGTAGTTTGTCAATAATCTGATCGTCTGTGGTACACACCAGCTTTTATGCATGTGTGATCGAATCTTCCAGTGTTATTGCTGCTGCTTGTGTTAGCTCCAGAATAAACCTTACTAGTCACCTAGTGTGCATAATCTTATCGCTGAACACCATGGCAGATTTTGAAGATAGCTTGTTTCAGGTCTACATTGATGTATCCGTGACGTCACGCCAGCCGAAGCCGCCGTTATCACCACTGCTTCTTCTCCTTCCCTTCCCCTTAACCCCTCTCGCACAACGCTACATTAACCCGCGCTATCGCAATAAAGTTTGTCTTGGCCCAGCCACGGCCTGGCGTGTTCGTTTCAGTGGCGACGAGGATGGGATGAAAGCGGTGCGGCAACTCCGTCCGTCATGACCGCCGCACCCACGGGAGGATACGCCAGCCCGCCGCAGTTCGACGAGGCGAGCGACAAGTGGCCCGCGTACCAGGTTCGGCTGGAAGCCTTCTTTGAGGGAAATGGCATCACGGAAGACAACAAGAAGCGGGCCCTGCTGGTGACTGCACTGTCCACCCACACCGTCGACGTACTGAGCGGACGTTGTGCTCCGGATAAGGTGAATGAACTTTCGTACCCACAAGTGATAGCCTTGCTTAAGCAGCACTTCTCGCCGCAACCGAACGAGATAGCACAGTCTTATAAGTTCTTCACCCGCAATCAGCTGCCCGGCGAACCGGTCAAGGATTTTGTCGTGGCGATTCGACAGATAGCGGACACCTGCAATTTTGGTGCTTCGTTGGACAGAATGCTACGAGATCGCATCGTGTGTGGTCTGCACAACGTCGGAGTGCGTCGGCAGCTACTCGCGAAACCACAGCTGACGAGGAGCGAAGCGGAAGAAATTGCGATATCTACCGAAATGGCCGAGGCCAACGCGCAAGAGATAGTAAGCCCCACCGCTGAGGCAAGTGTGCATGCGCTGGGAGGCCAGTCCTATCGCCCACGAAGCCGGCCACAGATTGTTGGGTGCTACCGCTGCGGAGCAAAAGGGCACGGACCCGAGGATTGCCGCTTCCGCTCGGCGTCATGCTTCAAGTGTAAACAACGAGGTCATATCGCTCGAGCCTGTTGCCGCCGTGAGAGTGGGTTCGGGGTGGTACCACCAGAACGCCAAGTACACGCCTTGTCGCGGGAGGAAGACACTGGCACGGACGGTATGTTCGCGCTGGAGGCAGCGGACAGTCACATCGGCCACGTCGGCATTACGCAACCCATCGTGCGCACCTTGGATTGTGGTGGGGTTCCAGTGAACATGCAGGTCGACACAGGCTCGCCGGTTTCGGTCATCACGTGGCCCACATATGAGCGGAACAAAACAGTGTGGCCGAAGCTGCGTGGTTCGCCATTGAAACTCACCTGCTTCCTGGGACGGCTTCCAGTGCGGGGACAACTTCAGCTCAAGGTTTCGTGCGGAAACAAGTCGACGGCTGGATCTTTGCAAGTCCTTGGTTGCTCCGGCCCAAACCTCTGCGGACGCGACCTGATTCAAGCGTTCCACATGCTCGAGGCACCGGTAATGAACGTGAACACGTCAGGTGAGCAACTGCCGTTACTCGGTGCTGACGACGTTAACGTGGACCGGTTGCTAGCAGAATTCGCTGATGTGTTCGCGCCAGGTTTAGGGCTCATAAAAGGGCCACCGGTACACTTCGAGACGCGAGAAAACGTGGTGCCGAAGTTTTGGAAAGCACGCGAAGTTCCGTATGCTTTTCGGCCAAAGGTCGACGCGGAACTGGACCGCCTTTCGGGCGCGGGTATTATTGTACCGGTGCCTCATGCGGAGTGGGCGGCGCCAGTGGTACCGGTAGTGAAACGGAATGGCTGCATCCGCCTTTGCGGCGATTTTAAGCTAACGGTCAACAAAGCCTGTCGCACTGAGCAATATCCGTTGCCACGGGTGGAGGATATCCTGGCTACATTAAATGGCGGTGAAGTTTTTACCACGATAGACTTGCGGGAGGCATACAACCAGCTTCCGTTGGATGAGGAAGCCATGCAACTCACGACCATAAACACGCATAAGGGACTGTTCAGCTTTACTCGCCTGCCTTTTGGAGTGGCGTCCGCGCCGGCCGTGTTCCAACGGCGTATGGAGACCATTTTGCAGGGACTTCCGGGTGTTCAGGTCTACCTAGACGACGTCATCGTGGCAGAGAAACGCAATGACTGCACCACCCTGCACGAAGTATTCAAGCGTTTCCGGGAATACGGCGTGCGCCTGAACGCAGACAGGTGCAAGTTCCGCCAACTAGAGGTGGATTTTTTGGGGCATCGAATCAGCGCTCGAGGTCTTCAACCAAAGACGGAAAACATAGACGCCATCCTTAAGGTTCAGGCACCACGGAATTCCGCAGAATTAAGGTCCTACCTCGGCATGGTAACGTACTACCACAAGTTTCTTCCCAATGCATCGACCGCCATGGCACCCCTATATCAACTACTCCGGAAGGAAGCTAAGTGGAAGTGGGATACCGCTCAACAGCAGTCATTCAGCAGGGTGAAAGACCTTCTGAAATCCGCAGACTTTCTGGCGCATTTTGACCCACACAAGCCGCTAGTCCTGGAATGCGATGCCTCCCCGGACGGAATAGGCGCAGTGCTTTCACACGATATCGGGGGCGGGGTACTTCGGCCCATAGGGTTCCGCTCTCGGTTATTGACTGGAGCTGAGAAAAATTACTCGCAGCTGGAGCGTGAAGCCTTGGCACTTGTGTTTGGTGCGTCGAAATTCCGACAATACTTGCTCGGCAATATTTTCACATTGATGACGGACCATAAGCCGCTTGTTGCACTTTTTCACCCAGACAGGCCAGTGCCCGTGATGGCCGCTGCGCGAATCCAGCGGTGGGCCCTGCTGCTGAGCGCCTACAATTACGTCATCAAACACCAGCCCGGGAAAGACAACATTCCAGCAGATGCCCTCAGCCGACTCCCCACGTCAGCAACTTCCCAGCCAGAGACGCAGGAAGAAACTGTGGACGGTGAGTATGTCCTGCTCACGGAGACCCTCAATGATGGTGTCATGTCTGCGAAGCAACTGGGCACTCTCACGGAGCTTGATGACGATTTAGCAAAGGTGCAAAAATGGGTGCAGGAGGGATGGCCAAGAAATTTGGGGCCTAAGGACCAGCACTTGATGCCATACTTCAACCGGAAAGCTGAGATAACGGGGAGTTATGGGCTTCTATACTGGGGCCATCGAGTGATCGTCCCTAAGAGTGCCCGAGCAGTGATGTTACGTCTGCTGCATGATACTCATCAAGGGATTTGCTCAATGAAGCGGCTAGGGCGCTCCTTGATGTGGTACCCCCGGATCGATAATGACATTGAGCACATGGTTAAGTCCTGCACCAGTTGCATCCAAGCTGCCCCTATGCCCCCAAAGAAACCCCCTGTTGCGTGGCCAGAAACGGATGAGCGTTGGTCGAGGCTGCATATCGATTTTGCGGGGCCGATCGATGGTCACATGCTACTGATTGTGGTGGATTCACATAGTAAGTGGATAGAAGCGATACCCATGAAGAGTTCCACCACACACGCCACCATAGAGGCTCTGCGCACCTTGTTCAGTACATTCGGGTTGCCCCGGACGCTGGTATCCGATAATGGCCCACAGTTTACGAGTTGGGAATTTAACACCTTCACGAAGCTGAATAACATAGTACACCTCCGAACAGCACCGTATCACCCCCAGTCCAATGGGCTCGCAGAGCGGGCGGTTCGTACGGTGAAGTATTCATTGAAGAAGAATGTACAAGGGTCACTGAAAACCCGCCTGGCTAGGATTTTGCACAGGTACCGCAGGACGCCGCAGGCCGGGGGCCGGACACCAGCGCAACTCCTAATGGGCTACGATCTTCGCTCCA